TTTGTATCACCAGCGGGGGTGGAATCCTAGAAAAACTGCTCACTTTGTCATTGAATAAAACGGTATGTCTGATTTTCCCTTTGAAATACTCTCAAAACACGGGAAATGCCATTACAGAAGGTTCATTTCCACAATTTTCCCTGGGAGCATGCCCCCGAACCTCCTAGAAACCTCGCTGGTCCCTCAGACAGTGCGAACGACCCCCCCCCTCGTTTCAAAATCCTGGCTACGAGCATGCCTTTCGATTCTAGTATTTTTCGACTACACGATTTTCTGTTGGTTCTCAAAGCCCTGGGATGACGACTAGGTGAAGACACTAGTTAGATCCGGTTTTCATGAAAGTTCATCTGTGTTGGTAGTAATCATAGTAAAACGTTAAACTTTATTCCAACACACTATTTACAGGGATCAAATTTTCAGCGACTACTGTCGCCTTCATCACTTAATAGAGATGGTGGACGATATAAACTCCCTGGCACTTTTGATCACGTCACGTATCAGTAAAGTCTCGTGTGAGTGAAGTCACGTGTTTGTAAACCGTAACTCTCGCGAGATCACGTTGTGAAGTGATTGGTCATTAATTATCCTGATGAAGGCGACAGTAGTCGCTGAAAATTTGATCCCTGTAAATAGTGTGTTGGAATAAAGTTTAACGTTTTACTAGATCCGGTTTTGTTTCAGATAATTGATAGAGGAAATACTGTACGTGTCTGCTTGCAGTATGATCTATTTTCTCGTCTGAAAATCTTGTGTGGTTCGCCTAATTAGAGATGGATATCCTTGTTAAAATATCTGACTTCTCACAGAAGTTGGCCAAGTGACAAAAATGTGACAAAAGCAGGACTCAAAGTTGTAGATCTGAAGATTTTATCCTTGGCTGTCCGTTGTCAAGGGACGAAACTGCAACTGATTATATCAGTCAACCTGTCAATGTCATTTTCATGGGTCCTTTGTATTCTGAGTTATCTCTTGGCGGAGTGCCATGATCACAGGTAATCCAAAGAAAATGAAAAACAAACGAACAATAACCTAACTTATCTTATCTTCGGTGTCTGGTGCCGTCTAGTCTTCTTTTCCTCTATCCATCGCCGGTATGGTTCAGGACATTTTGGTGACACTAGTACTGAGTTGTTTAAGGTTAAAACGTTTGGTCCAACACAAAAAATCTCTCACCTTAAGCTTTCGACCAGTCACTCTGGTCTTCCTCAGTAGACTGACCCAGTGAAGCTTGTCACTGGGTCATTGAACCGCGACGGGG